AAGATAAAGTGAGGATCCTATTTAGTCTAGTATTCAGCGATCCACACCATGCCGGCGCGTACGAGTTGTTGTACAAGTAGGGCGTTCTGTCGAGAGATAATCGGTGCTTAATCTACTCGCCGCCTGTGCGGTAGGTTGGTGTGCTCGTTGGAAACGGCCGCTAGAATAAGAGAGCATTGGCAAACGTCCGTACCTGCAAGCCTGCAGAGCGCTCCGTGGCAGACACCGTCGGTAACCTTGATCTTCTTGTTACCGCCGGCTAGCCAATTTTTTGGTGGTATAAGACACGCAACGCACGCGTGTGCTTGAACGAACCTTCATCTTGGCATTACCTCCCCCCTCTTCTTCAGGCCGGCCAACATTTACAGTGCCGGCCGGCACTTGAGAACCTCCTATTTTGGGCGAGGCTCAGTTCTTACTGACTGCCCCAAACCGAGCACCAGTTCTTATTTGCCAAGTTCTTTGTTCGTCGTCCATTCTTCTCCAGAAAGGGGCGTTCTTGTTCTTACGTATATTAACATCATTTGCTATATTGTCGGCTGTCAACCATGAGCAACACCAGTACTGCTGTCGATACAAGAAAATACCAAGGCATGAAGCAGCAACTGTCAACCTTCTTGGTCCACAAGGGTGACGTTGGTCCTGCGTACCCTTCCTGATCTACTAATGCCCTCAAGCAAAACCCAGGAGCCTCCAGCCGCATCCGAATCTCCGCTGTACTTGTCTAAGGGCAACTTCATCGTGCGCGTACTCTGGTCTAGCTCCAGCTGCACAGAGTAGTCGTACAGGTGGCGAGTGTCCTTCTGGGATTGTTGAGTGATCAGCCCTTCAAACCACCCCATGCCCAGCCTAACGAGCACTCCACGCCGCAATAGCAATCTGTCAAGAGCAACGGGTTTGGCTTCTTGAATACGAAAGCCTGCCGGGANCCAGCCGCATCCGAATCTCCGCTGTACTTGTCTAAGGGCAACTTCATCGTGCGCGTACTCTGGTCTAGCTCCAGCTGCACAGAGTAGTCGTACAGGTGGCGAGTGTCCTTCTGGGATTGTTGAGTGATCAGCCCTTCAAACCACCCCATGCCCAGCCTAACGAGCACTCCACGCCGCAATAGCAATCTGTCAAGAGCAACGGGTTTGGCTTCTTGAATACGAAAGCCTGCCGGGATCTCCATTCCCTGTATCTCATCCTCCGGTTCTTGTGGGTCCATGCTGTCGTCGTCGTCCAGAAGAGCTAGCTCGTCGGTCTGGGGTTGAGATATGTCTGCGAACGAGGCAACGGGAAACACAAAAAGTTCGGGTGTTACGTCGCCAAACTCAACCTGAACATATCATAATTTGAGTGTAGCCGTGCGCGGAAACAAGCTATCGTCAACATGAAGGACATCGTCATCAACAAAAAGAAAATAAAGAGTTGGTTTTGTGCAAAACAAACTTACCGCCGTCGTCTTCATCGCTGGAGTCACTGCCCTCCATGAGCGTCTCACGTCCTCCATCGCCCTCCTCCGCCCGCCCCCCAGGCTCATCGTTGCCGTTCTCCGAACCTTGTTCGTCGTCGCTACTGTCTTCATCGTTCGCGAAGGTACACGGCTTGTCCAAACCCTTCAAGGTGATTCGATCATCGCCCGAGCCGTCCACGGTCATGGCCATCCCGCACTTTTCGAAAAGACGGTATCGGTACGCCTGTTGGCTGTTGAGTCTTGCCATGGCCGCTCCCATCCACCGAGTGATCAGGACGGGCCGATCAGAAGCTGTCAGCGACGCGGTTTCCCACCTCTTCAGGTTGTCCGACTGCTCGAGCCATATGTCCATCTGCCTCCCGACTTCCACCTTGAGAAATCGTCCGGCTCCTGCATCAACTGGCTGCACCTCGTCCGTGCACTCCGAAGGGCCATACCGGGCGAGAGTGTTGCAGTGCTTCGCAAGATATTCCTTGAACTCGTCCGTGGTCTGCGCGTGCAAGTTGTCCCTGGATAAGAATGGACCTCGCCTTGGGGAGCTCACCCCGCCCGCGCATCACGCTTTTCTCGGGGGCACCCAGGGGCACGACGTGTGCGTATAATGCCCACCCTCCCCCTCTAAAAAAATACAAATGTTGATATGTGGGGTATGTACCCCTCCCAAATCCATTGTGTTTGTC